TACCCTAGCTCATTTAGCTTCAAAACCATCCTAAATCATTCTAACTTTCTCCCAATACTAGAGAATTTAGAGAGTTTCTTGAGAGTTGTTTTTCTTCTTTTTTATCAAGAGAGAATTGTCATTGTTTTCTCCTTGGTAGATCGAGAGAAGTTGTAATTCCTATTTTCTCATAGTGAAATTCTTCTACAGTTGCCCGTGGTTTTTACCATATATTATTTAGGGATTTTCCACTTAAATTTTGTGTCTCTTTTATCTTCATTTTTATTTTCTCAAATTATCAGTTAAAATTTTACTCTAACCGATAGCCGTCTTCTGCAACAATAACAGCATATGCCAGCTGCTATCTTCTAAAAGAAGAAGCTCTCAACTACTTCCCCATTACAGTCTTAATTACAGGTTATTCATTGAAGAGCTGTAGGTTCCAAAACACTGAATAATAAATTTCTTCTACCAGCGGATGATCAAAAGAAAACCCAACCAGATACCATTTAATGAAAGAATTAATGGAGGCTTGAAAGATGAAAACCCTTTCAACTACTCACCACCAGCACCAAGTTGGTGTAAGCATTAACTATATCCATCCGCCACGTTAAATCTCTCATTTAATACATACATACATCCATATCATCTCTCTCTATATATGGTACTGGTTCATCACCGTCCTATATAGTTATCCTTTAACTTGTTAATCCTTTTTTTTCAGGCTTTAATATGGCTAGGAACGAGCAGGATCTGCTGTCGACTGAGATCGTCAACCGTGGGATCGAGTCATCGGGGCCTAACGCCGGCTCCTTGACGTTCTCGGTTAGGGTTCGAAGACGGCTTCCTGATTTTCTTCAGTCGGTTAACTTGAAATATGTGAAGTTGGGGTACCATTATCTGATCAACCATGGGGTTTACTTGGCTACCATACCTGTGTTGGTGCTTGTTTTCAGTGCTGAAGTGGGAAGTCTCAGTAGGGAAGAACTTTGGAAAAAACTTTGGGAAGATGCTCGATATGATCTCGCTACTGTGCTTTCCTTTTTCGCTGTGTTTGTGTTCACCGTCTCGGTTTACTTCATGTCACGCCCTCGATCCATTTATCTCATCGATTTTGCTTGTTATCGTCCCCACGATGACTTCAAGGTCAGTAACTTTTCATAACCATGAATCTTACAAAAATATTAATTACTGTTCTTTTATATATTTTATGTTGTGTTTACAGGTGACCAAAGATCAGTTCATCGAACTAGCCCGAACATCGGGCAAGTTCGATGAACCGAGCCTTGAGTTTCAGAAGAGGATACTGAAAACGTCGGGGATTGGTGATGAAACTTATGTTCCAAAGGCGATTATGTCGAAAGAAAACTGTGCCACCATGAAAGAAGGCCGACTCGAAGCATCTACCGTTATGTTCGGTGCACTTGATGAACTCTTCGAGAAGACGAGGATTCGTCCCAAGGATATTGGGGTTCTCGTAGTGAATTGCAGCATCTTTAATCCGACGCCATCGCTGTCTGCGATGATCATCAACCATTATAAGATGAGGGGGAATATCTTGAGCTATAATCTCGGCGGAATGGGGTGCAGTGCTGGGATTATTGGGGTGGATTTGGCTCGAGATATGTTGCAGGCCAACCCCAATAACTATGCTGTGGTTGTGAGTACTGAGATGGTGGGGTACAATTGGTATCCGGGTAAGGATAGGTCCATGCTTGTTCCGAATTGTTTTTTTAGGATGGGATGCTCCGCCGTGCTTTTGTCCAACCGCCGTAGTGACTACCGCCGTGCTAGGTACAGGCTTGAACACCTTGTGAGGACGCATAAGGGTGCCGACGACCGGAGTTTCAGGTTTGTTTTCCTTTGTTTACCTGTTCATGAGGGATAATAACAGTTAACGCTACATTGTAGCTTTAGTAGATATGAGTCCGATAAATATGGTCAGATCAATTATATAGACTTTAATTTATGATAATGAAATTCCGATTAAAAGAAGAAAAAGAAAAAACACATGGAAAAAGTATTTTTATTTAGGCTTAATGCCCAAACTATATCTTTTGTGCCAAATAAGTGCCTACATTTTTTTTGCTCATCCGGGTGCCTAATGTTACAAATGTTAGTATTTTAAGTGTTCGGGCCATTAACGTCGTTAGTTTTGACCGTTAAGTGTTGGATTAAGGTTAGTTTTGACCCCTAACTTTTCTTATATTATAAAATAGTCCCCAAATCCCAAATCCTAACCTTAATCCGTCGTTGCCGCCCTCTCCAGTCATGACCATCGTTTCCGACGTAGCCCTTGCCATCATTCTAGCTATATGCCGCCATAGTAGTCGCCGATTCACCATCGGAATTGCGTGAGATCGCAATTTTTCCTAGGGTTCGCGGGATTTAAAACATTGATTTGTCGTTGATCGTTGTCGATTGGTCACAATTTCATAGGAGTTTTGGGCTCCGGGGGAAAGAGATCGGGTGGAACTTTTTCGGCGGCAAAGAGTGGTGTTCGGCGTAAGTTTAGGGGTTGAAATGAATGTTTTCAAAGTTTAAAGGTTATTTTGAAATTTAATGTGTTTTCTTTTTAAAAAATATATAATTTTGTTTTTTAATTTTATATAAAAAAATTAAATTTATTCGATTGTGACACATGTCACTTAATGGGAAAATTAACACCGTTAACGGTTCGATCACCTAAAAGACTAACATAGGTAATGTTAGGCACCTGTATGGGTCAAAAAAAACGTAGGCACTTATTTAACAAAAAAATCATAGTTTAGGCACTTATTTGAGCATTAACCCTTTTATTTAACCTTTTATGTTATTTTCATTAATTTGAATGTAGAATATTCATTTTATACTAATTAATTACAAATTAAATAAAAACAAAATTCGGTTGAGTTTGATCTTGAAGGTTCCGCTAAATCAAATGCATTTAAATAACAATTAAACTAAAATTAAATTTAATAAGGATAAACTATTCTTTTCATCCCTCAACATTGACTTTGATCTTAGCTTAATATTTTTAATTTCATCACTTAAATTTTTAATTACTTTTATTTTGATCACTCTATTATTAATTATTTGGTGGCATTGTTATGATATATTTTGATTTTTTAAAATTTTACAAAAACCCCCAAAAAGTTTAATTCTATTTTATAGAATTACTTGAATCCAAAATTTTAATATATATTTTCTTATTTCTTTTGATTTTTTATCATGTATCTTTTTCTAAATTCAAATATAGGAGATAAAGTAATATATTTCTATTATATGCTGATTGAATGATGAGATTATAGATTAGAATCGTTTTGCTCTAGAATTTGGATCGAGTTTTGTGAGGTAGACATAAAAATATATCATCTATTAAGAAAAAAGAAAACAAGATTAAGTTGACAGCATTTGACTCCATGTAACAGTTTATGTCTATATCTTCTCTTGTTATTTGTAATTTGATGTTTTAATGGTTAAAATCTGAATAATTTAAAGTTTTAATAAAAAAATAAAAAAATAGAATTAAATGATAAAAGTATGACTGTGAAAATTGAATCAAGCATAATTTACCCGTTTTATTAAAATTAAACAAAAGTGAACTAACCATTAGTATTAAAATTCATTAATTAATTTATTATTGGATAAACTTGTGGATCAGGTCAATCTACCAAGAGGAAGACGAACAAGGTTTCAAGGGTCTTAAAGTGAGCAAAGATCTGATGGAGATCGGCGGAGACCCCTCAAAACCAACATCACAACCCTGGGTCCACTCGTTCTACCCTTCTCGGAGCAGCTCTTCTTCTTCGCCACCTTAATCTGGCGCCATTTATTCGGCGGCGACAACAAATCAAAGGCCTTACTATCGCCATCCTCCAAGCCATACATCCCGAACTACAAGCTGGCGTTCGAACACTTCTGCGTGCACGCGGCCAGCAAGACCGTGCTGGACGAGCTGCAAAAGAACCTCGAGCTCAGCGACACCAACTTGGAAGCGTCGAGGATGGCGTTGCACCGCTTCGGCAACACTTCGAGCAGCAGCATATGGTATGAAATGGCCTACTTGGAGGCTAAAGAGAGGGTTAAAAGAGGCGATAGGATTTGGCAGATCGCGTTCGGTTCCGGGTTTAAATGCAACAGTGTGGTTTGGCGTTCGATGCGTCGCGTGAGGAAGCCTTCCAGGAACAATCCATGGCTTGACTGCATTGATAGATACCCTGTGAGAGCTTGAATTTGCCTTTAATGGATGTGGCTTGGTTCATAATAACGGCCTTTTGATGGGGACAAGATTGTTGGCAAATTAGCGTGGTTGATAATAACGGCCCTTTAATGGCTGCTGCGTCGTCTCATGGTTGTGAAACTTTTCTCCGCTAATTTAACTGTATGTAAAAAGTTTGTTAATTATAGTCTAAATTAAGCTCTAAATAACGAGTAAACGAACCTAGTGATTTTCTAAAACTATGTTTTAACAAAGGGTGTTACAATTCTAATCTAACAAAGCTAGAACATAACCTGATAAAAGAACAAGCCTGATCGACCAAACCCAAAACCTAATTGTTTTTGCAGGCCCGAGTCCAACAAAAGAACAACTTAAGGTTCAAACGAAGAAGAAGAGTCTGGTCTGGTCCATGTATGGCCTTTTTGTAATTATAAACAAATGATTACACCCCAAATTAGTCAAAGAACTAATCCACCATGAAGCTACCTGTTGTCATGATTTCACAGGGAAGTCTTCTCCAAACCAGTACCAAAGCAACAAATATCAAACCAGTTGTTAAACAATGGCCGAACCAAACAAATTTCCAAAGGATAAGAAAAGGACCTTCACTTTTCTAGACCGACGCTGTAAAGCTTCCTTGACAAACATTCCTTCCACGCTGGTTCCGCCATTTGGCTCCAAATTATTACAAACACGTAATGGTTCTTATACCTTCCGTGATTTTCATACATATTCACTTTATAAAAAAAAAAAAAAAGTAATAATGTTTTTTTTAATGCTTTGATTGATGATCCAAGCCCTCTAATAAAAGAACATTTTTTAAAGCTCAACCCCCTTTTTATATGTGGCTTTAAACTCGAAAACCAGACACATTGGAAAACAACAACATAATTTTTGACAGTGATTTGTGGTGGTGGTCTTTAAAGATGGGTGGGTTTAGTTTGCTTTGTTTCATGTTTTTTGTTTGGGTGTTGGGATTTGAAAGCGGAAAAGGGGTGTGGGGGTTGGCTTGCAACTGGGGATTGCAGTCGACTCATCCGTTGCCACCGGACATAGTGGTGAGGCTGATGAAAGACAATGGATTCGATAAAGTAAAGCTGTTCGAGGCTGATCCTGCTGCTCTCAAGGGACTTGGGAAATCTGGGATTCAGGTTATGGTCGGAATACCCAACAACATGTTGGCGTCGCTTGCCGGGAGTCCCGCAAATGCTGAAGCTTGGGTTCAACAGAATGTTTCCACTTTCGTTTCCAAATCTGGAACTGATATAAGGTAATCTCGCCTCAATCTCTTTTTTTTTTTTTTTCTTTAGATTTCGATAATCACGTCAAATTTGCTTATTTTAAGCAAAAGTTTATAAACAATTAAGTTTTAGCAAGTTATTTACTTATAAAATTATAGTAAAGAAATGATATTAAGCTAATATATTCAAAGCATTTTTGTTATTCGGATTAAAATATTATAATATAAGCATTTAATATTCAATATTTAAAAATTATTTTTAAATAAATATTATCTTATACTAACTTAACATTAATAAAACGAAAAAATTCAAAACATAACAACCGCACGTTTTTCCTTTCGTCTCCCAAGCATCTATTGTGCTACGCGAAATTTTATGGGTTAAACTATGGTTTCAATACTTTTACTATATTTGGTTTTAAATTTAATTTATTTTAATCTGGAGTAATTTACTCTTATTTGAATAAACTATGTATTAATATTTAAACTATCGTATTTAGTAAGTTTTAGTATCTAAATTTTTTATAATTTTCAAAATCATATTGAACATTTTTCATTTTATTTTAGTATTTGCTTTAAAACTTAATAAGTTAGTACCCACACTATTTTTTTTATCCATTTTAGTATCTAAATTTTTTTCAAGCCTTAACGTCAAATTTTGAACAGATGTCAAAATGAAATAAAAACTAAAGTTTTTAAATTCATATACTAAAATGAAACAAAAAAAAATTAAAAAAATTAAAAGGTAAAAAAATGACTAAAATTGATAGTTTAAATATTAAATGTGTAATTAACTCTTATTTTTATAATGTTTCTAATTAATTAAAGTGGAGTAATTAACATTTGGAAAGTATTTTGGTTAAAATACTGACATGATTTTTTTTCCTTGAAAGCGTCCATTCAATATCAAATTATCATATGTTCAATATTATAAATTACTCCATGTTTTTGTTTCATTTAGAAGCTGAACTCAGCGTGGGATTTGTGTTTTTTTTTCCAGGTTTGTAGCCATTGGCAATGAACCTTTTCTTCATAGCTACAAAGATATGTTCATCCAAACAACATTTCCAGCCCTTCAAAACATTCAAGCAGCTCTCGTCAAAGCAGGTCTAGGCAAGAAAGTGAAGGTAACGGTTCCGTTGAATGCCGATGTCTTACAGACCGACAGCGGCCTAGCGTCTGGCGGCGATTTCCGACTTGATATTCATGACCTAATGCTTAAGATCATCAAGTTCCTTCAAGACAATGGTGGCATTATTACCATTAACATCTACCCTTTCCTTAGTCTCCAAGCTGACCCCAATTTCCCAAAAGAATTTGCCTTCTTCAGCAACACTGCTAATCCGGTCGTGGACGGTACCATCACTTACACCAATGTTTACGATGCAAACTTCGATACCCTCATTTCGGCTCTTGAAAAGAACGGCTTTGGGCAAATTCCGGTTGTCATTGGAGAAGTTGGCTGGCCGACCGATTGTGACCCCAATGCGAACATAGACAACGCCCGCAGGTTCAACCAAGGCCTTCTAGATCGTATTGTTAAGGGCCAAGGCACCCCAAAACACCCAGCCCCGATCGACGTTTACCTGTTTTCGCTGATCGACGAAGACAACAAGAGTGTCGAGCCAGGGAACTTTGAGAGGCACTGGGGTATCTTCAATTACGATGGAAGCGTCAAATATCAGTTGAATATGGGGAAAGGCAAAGCCATCGTTCCGGCCAAAGGTGTCAAGTACTTGGCCAGGCAATGGTGCGTGTTGTCGCCTTCGGCAGGTGTTTCGGACCCCAATGTTTTGTCTCAAAGCATTAACTATGCTTGCCAGTATGCTGATTGCACAAGAGCTAGTCCCGGATCCTCGTGTGGTAATCTAGATCCCCAGCGCAATGTTTCGTATGCTTTCAGTATGTATTACCAGACTATGAATCAAAGGAAAGATGCATGCTCTTTTAATAACTTATCTGTGGTTACGACCGTGGATCCGTCTCAGCCGCCTTGTCGCTACGAGATCATGATCGACATCGGGAAACATGACCTCACAGCCTCTGGCAGTGCTAAGGTGGCTGGAAATGGAAGCCAACTATTTATATTCCTGATGATTGTATTGGCTTTGGTTATCGATGGTGCTTGTTAATTTGAGTCCGGCGTTTGCCTCTTTGATGCAGAGTCGAGCAGGGAAGGATCAGCTTCATTTCTTTTGTTTCTTGATGTTGATCTTTTCTTAAGACTGCCATTGATTTTTGGTTTGACTCCATTGTAAAATAACCATTGATTCCGTGAATATTTTGTTGAACTTAATTAATCTTCGGATCACAAGCGTGTTAAGCTTTAAACGCCGTATTCGAATGCCGGTGTGGTACCCACCATTTCTCGACGATAAAGGAAAAAGACCACCGGCCACCGAGCCTAGTCTAGACTCGAGATATATTTGCTCTTGAACATGATCTTGTACATGAATCAATGAATTTCTGCTAAAAGACAATCAACAACAGATGATAAATAACTCTAGAACGTATTCATAATTTACTTGAATTAAATTTTAGCTAATTTTGTCATAATTTTAGTCTGCAACTTGCTAATAATTATTTTTCAAGCATCCAATTTGTTTCAATTATTTGGATGTTGAAAATTGAAACATTTACAAGGTAATTTCACTAGTTTGATAAACATTTGATGAATGTTTGATACAATGTGAAATTTGGCTTATAAAAGCTATTTGCCCTTGAAATTATACATGTTCCTTATCCACATGCACATAACTATGGAAGGCAGCTACATGTTCAGTCAACTCAACCATCATCCAAGCCTCCATGGCAAGCACTACTCCATGTCAGTCGAGTTGTTTGTATTATCAAAATGGCGTCGGACCTAACATCTTAGGCTGGAGTATAGGCCATCCAGAGCAACATAAAAGGGTTCAGCATCCTTCGGCCTGCTTACGGTCCAAGTAGTATGTCAGCAGTGGTGAGATAAGGATCACCATAGAACCGTAGGTTGGGTATCCATCCTTGTTGTAACGATGCTCCCTTCCAATGACACACCAACAAATGACCCTGTAAATTGTGCAGCAAAATGGATGATTGAATGCACAAACTGGATAAAAGAAGAGTACAAATACACTGCGGGATGGAATACCTTTGCTGCAAGTGTATGTGTAACACATGCCAGTGCCTCTATCCCCTGCCCGAAGATCTGCTTCCACCACTCTCCCCACAGGTCCTGCCGCAGCACTACAGCCAGAACCAAGAGAAAAATGCATTCAACTACAAAATGCCTTCACAACTTTTGTATCATGAAGCACGATAATGACTGCCTAGACTGATATATTCAGCTTGAATAGGTGTACTTTCTTAGTCAATAGTTTACCTGAGCACCGCATCCTAAACCAATAGAGAATATAGCTGATGGCGCAGACCATGTTCCATCGGACCTTCGAGCAATAACAAGACCAGTCCCAAGTTTGTATGCCAAAAGAACTCCAGCTTTAACGACAGTTAAAATAGCCAACCCTTTAGCTCCTCTCAGAACTGACAGTGGTATAATCTCTCAGGATTCAACCTAGCAACCTGTCCATTTGAATGACTGCTATTAAAAGCATCTCACCGTGCCAACTAATACTCATTGCATAACTCCGATATATACAATAAATTAGTTAACTCAATGCTTTACGCAATCAGTTTAATTCGATTTTTTACATAATTGGTTTAACTCAATTTCTTTACACTGAAACACCGGCTAAAGAAACAAACATGTGTTCTGGTTGAGCAAGACAATTAAAATGAAAGCTTAATCTAGCCGGGAAGTATGATCTAGAAGGAAAAATGAAGTTATTGTCTTGTATGAATGATGGAAAATAGAATCAAACCTGGCAATAACTTCTCAAGGTATTTGATGTTTTCTAGATCTCATGTTCCATGGACATACCAACCGGCAAGTTCAACCAACCTGGCCTATAAGAACACCCTGCAACGGTTCAAGCCTATCATAGCAAGAATCACACACCCTTCGGGGATTTCTATCCCTGAATTTAACAGGTGGCAAGCACATTCCCTTAGAACATGCTCTACAGAAAATCCCTCCACAAAACCGGCAATGATGTCTCCCACGAGTAATTGCCGTAAAAGTACTGCTATCTGGAAGCCACTCTGGAGGTTCAGCTTCCAAAACCTCCTTATAGGCATTATAATTTATCCCACTTTGCTCCTAAAGTGGTGGGGCACTCGGTATATATACAGAAGACTGCAAACATTGTTTCCAGACCCCAGAAATGAAACATTAGAACTTTGGCACGGCTGATCCACAAAAGCATTCGAGGTGCCTTTATTAGTTACTATTGCAATTAACCCACTCAACACATTCTTCATGTTCACCTCTGGTTCCAAGCCATTTGGCATTGACATAGATACATCATTCGAATCATTCCCGCCGTCAATGAACTCATCGGAATCAATAGGAAACTGATAAATATTATCTTTTTTATTGACTTCGAGCCCGATGAGATTATAGTTTTATCTTCTGGCACAGTCCAAACAGGATCAATATAATCATCATCAAAAAATTGATACGCATCATTAATATTATTCTCCTTTTCTACCTCTGAAAGGGAAGAATACGAAACCCTAACCTCAAACCTTGCCATCCAATCACACCACCAATAATTTGATTATTAAATCCAACGAGTAATTTCACTAAAATTCAAAAATCATCACCGTATTAACCGCCTATTAAAAACCCTAAACAAAAAATAACTGCAATTTCCAGCAAATTAAATCACGAAACACACAATACGTTTAATAGAGGACCCAACAAAAGTCTTTGTTTTCCTACATATAGTTCAAAAGGAATTTTATAACAAAATCAAAACACAATAAATTTGGAATTTCATGAATCACGGTGTTGATTTTTATCCTAATCGATTGTCTGAAGGAGGAACTTGATACCCAAAAAAAAAAGTACCTTCTTCGCACGCGTCAGGAAATATGATTACAAGAATGAAAACCTTAACTTCACGATGAGGGATATAAGAAATGTAATCAGATGAAAAATAAATAATTAATAAATAAATAATAGGGTAAATTACAAATTTAGCTCCTAAGTTATCAGTTATGGTCTGTTTTAGTACTTAAAATTTCAGTTTCTTTAAAATCATACCTAATTTAATTTTTGTTTTATTTTAGTATCCACTGCTAAAAACTTAACACATTTAGTACTTAAACTATCAGTTTTAGTACCTTAACTTTCAATATTTTTTTTCAAAACTTAATTTCAAATTTGAATAGATACTAAAATGAAATAAAAACTAAACTTTATGTATGATTTTGAAAGAACTAAAAATTTAAGTATTAAAATGTATTTAATAGTTTAAGTATTAAATACGTAATTTACTCATAATAGGGTAAACGACCTGAACATTAGGGGTGTTCGCGGTCGGTTTGGATCAGTTTTTGGCTAAAATTTCATCCTATCCGAAATTATAAATGTTTGCGGTTTGGATCGGTTTGGTTGTTTCTAAAAAAATCTGATCTGATCCAATCCAATTAAATGCGGCTTGATTCGGTTTGGATTTGTGCGGTTTTTGGATTATATTTTTTCAAAAAAATTCTTGAATTTTTTTCATTAAAAAAAACAACATATGTATAACAAAAGCAAAGAGAATATATATTTTAACAAATCAAGAAACGAATCAGTTACTCATCAGTAAGTCACCCATAAAAGTAGAACGGTACATTTTTTAAGTTTTGCCCGACAATTTTCTCTCTAACTCAAAACTGAGAAAATACCAAAAGACTATAATATCCTTCTTTGCTATTATCATTTATTACACCATTTTTTCCCATTGGCATTGATGGCTAGAATCTGGAACAAAATTGTTACGTGTGTCGAGGAAAGCCGAATCTGTTTTTGTATCTGGGTTTTGTGAGATTGTGTGGAGCTTTTGATGGGTTTGTTTCAAGCTTGTAAATTCAATATTCCATTTCATCAGTTCGGCTTGGATCGGTTCTAGATTTTCAAATCGAAATCGAACTGAATCGATTGGTTTGTAAAAAAAAAACCAAACATACTAAATTGGTTTCGGGTTTTTTCAATTATCGGTTTTTTGGATCGATTTTCGGTTATTTTTTTTATCGGATTGGATCTGAACACCCCTATTGAAAATGACAAAATAAAAATTGAAGGAGATGGCAATTACAATGAGCGATGGGTGAGCTTTGGTATAAAATTAATTAATTAACTCTTATTTATCAACGTTTAAGAGTATTTTGCTCTATCCTTTGTAGTAAAAAAAGATCAATTAATTAATTAATTAACTTTGATTTATTATTTTGATAATTAATGAATTAAGTACAACATCCTTAATTATTATTTCTAATTTGTTTGTTCAAGTTTATGTTCCACTTCAATCTTAATTATTCATAATTAAATTTGAATCAACTAAATCAAACACGAAATATTATAACAAATTTAATTATTTGTATCTCAATTAAAACTATTTAATTTAAATATTAAAATATTTGAATCCGACTCATCCGAAACTTGGACTATTTATCAAACTAAAGTTTCAGTTTTTTTTAACGACCAATATATGGACTAGCACTCCAATAATTATGCACGTGGCAGATGTATAGAATAATGATTAAATGAGGTGAATAATTGAGCACATGCGATGGTTGCATATAACCATGATTTCAAGCAGCCATTGGAAATTATTGAGGTGAGAGCTCCCCAACTCCGCCCCTACCTTATCTTAGGGGATCTAAAAATTTAAAAATAAAAGTTAAAATAAAATAATATTTTTTAATAAAATGGGTATGTAAAATTTTTTATTTTTTTCTTTTCCCTTAATATATTTAATAATTTATCTAAAATAATGAATATGCATTAGACCCCTTAAGGAACCAAGTGCATCTGCCCTTGTTACATCACCCTATAAAAGAAAAATGCATGCCTTATTCATATCTTTGTGGGTAAATGAGTGTATTTCGTTTTCGTTCATTAGTTCATTTATCAACTTATTTATCGATGAATGAAAAGACTAAATTAAATATAATGTGGATTTTAGAGTTTAAATTGTGAATCTTAAAGGTTTTAAGGATTAGCGACATGTTGAACAACGCAGAAAGAACAAAAGAAATATAAGAAATAACAAAGGTATTGTAAGCTTTATTTAGTTCCAAAAACTTGCTTCAAATACAGTCTATAATACTCTTTTATAGGAATCAGTTACAACAACTCAGCTACTCAAAACTGCCTAACCACCTAGCTGTTAAGAAGTTGTTGAGA